TTCCTGGCGGCCTTCGCAGCCGGAGTCTTCTCCAAATCGTCTCCTTGCCTTTTAAGCAGCTTGGAGAAAGATCGTGAATTTTCTTGACGGAGTCCTGAGAAATAAACAAGGGTAAGTATACCCAACCGGCAAATAGTAAAAAAAAAAGGAAAATACGCAAACACATAAAATCAAGTGGTCTTACCCCGCCTTTCTTGGAGTCTTTGGCTTCGACGGCTGCCTTCTTGGCAAGTGTAGCCTCTTTGCGCAACAGCGCCGCAGACTTAGCCGGAGTCTTCGCCGGGTCGACCATTCTCAAGGCGTTGGCTGCAAGAACAAGAATTCATGGTTAGAAAAGTTATGGCAAGTTTGCAATAAAAAAAAATAACAATCATTCCGGATGAGAAGTATTCAACCCTTGAGAAACATGGTACTCAGCCCGCAGGCGGACAAGAAGCACTCGTCCTTGAAGAAGTCCGGATGGGGGATCTAGTTCTTGGGAACTATGATGTGAGTCCCATCCCCCATGGGCTCAGTTGTTGTTTCAAAAAATCCTGGTTCTATTATTTGCTCCCGGGCCTTAGTAGATAGCACCGGGAGAGGGCATTTCCGGCCTAGAAGAGCCGACTCAGTGTTGTACCGGCACAGTGTCCGGTTGTGTCTTTAAGTTGGGGAAGAAATCAAGTAAAACTTGTCCTTCCACCCAGACCATTTGGACACTTTGTCCAAAGTCATCAAATATTAGGGCAAGGTAGTCAAAGTATACCATGCCCAATGGCCGCCTGGGGCCTTTCTCAAGTAGTGCATGTGAGCGAAGGCGGAAAATCTAGGGTTTATATTTTTAAACTCGCAGGCGGCGATGTAACTAAGAATGTTCACCCACGAATTGGGGGTGAGCTGCCAAACCCCTACATCGTACCCCTTAAGGATTTTCTTAATCCCGGAGTGGAGGGGGAACCGGAGGCCGGCTTCGATAACCGCCTCGTAGCAGACGAAGTAGTGGTCTGCATTGTCAATAACATCGCCCCAGGCCATTACAGCGTTAGCTGGAGGAACGATGATGTCCCAGCCCCTTCCAAAGGGGTGCTTTTCCTTGAAGGCCCTAAATCCCCTCTTGAGGAGGGCGATGTTATCCGGCAAGATCCGAGTCCGTTTAGGGTTGGGGTTTTCAGCGACCTTAAGCGGCTGCTGATAGTCAGCCGCAAAATTGTCTTGGTCAAAGCCGGAAGAATCGTCCCTTGACCCTTCGCCGGCCTCAGCATTGCCGGCTTCATTAGAGGAGGCGGTTTCCTCGCCGCCAACCTCTCGTACCCCAGAGCTCCTAGAAGTAGAGGGAGCCTCTTCGTCAGACCTGCTCTCCTCCAAATCCCTCTGTTCCCCGTCTAGGAAAACCTCATCGGCTGGCACTTCCATAGTGCGCCGGCTCCTAGACCGTCTACCCGTTTGTTTCATTCTGGCCATTGTGTCCTGCACAGACACAGAGAGGGAGGAATTCGGAGATGAGCATATCGGTTCCGACAGTCCAGCAAAGGCACCCCCTGTTCTAGACTCAGCCGTTCCGGGGGACCGGCTGAGTGTCCTAGGCAGTGCCGAGTGAGTGGATTGAGAACTCATTTATATTTTCTAAAACACTAGGTATACAGGCGAAGAAAAAATGGTATACAAGTTGAAAGGGAGAGAAGCTAAAATGGTTTAGGCGGTTACCTTGCTTTTACTCTGAAAAATCTGAAAACCGCTACAGCCGGTAAACCGGGTGTTGAACTGCTAGCACACGGAAGCTTGAACTTGTTGTGATGAAGACGGAGGCAGAGAATCTCTCTCTAAAAAGCTCTCTCTTTCTCTCTCTAAAAGGTCAAATGAACGTAAGGTGAGAGAAAAGGGGAGGGGTAACTTTCTATTTGTAGAAGGTGAAAGCGGGGGGAAAAACTTTGGTTTGAAATTCAAATTTTTACCCGTTACTGTTCACCTTTGAGAGGTGGACACGTGTCACAGGCCCCACGTGATATGCATGTGCGACCTGTGAGGGGCAAATGTTTAGGGTAAAAATACCCTAGACACGTGGACCAATGAGAAAAGGCCACGTGTCGAGTTTAGGATGGCCCATGTGGCTTAATATCCTCTTGACACTTGGCGTCCTCATATGCATCTTTGAAATGGCGGCCTTCAAGGGCACAAATCCCAAGAAGCGCCGTTTTATGGCGCGGCCAACTGAAATTTAGGTCAAGTGACCTAGACAGGGGCACGTTCTCCAATGACCCTATAAATAGGAAGATATTTCCCCATTTTGGGGACACATTCAATCATTTATTACACCTACATTCTCTCACATCAAAGAAACACCTGAGCTTGCTTCCCACCTAAATTTCCTTACGCTTTATTCCTTTTCAAGTTACTAACTTGATCGTTGGAGGCGGAGCTCCTACCACCCGGAGTCTCCGTAGTTTTGCAGATACAACTCAGCCGGATCAAACTTCGTGACGTAACTCTCCCGAGGGACAAAAACACCCAAAACAATACTCATAAAACATATATCATATAACTCTTATTAACAAATATTTAATTGACAAATAAAACATCCAACTTTCTTTGTCAAAAACCACAAAAGCATATACTTCGTATTTGTTAAGATGATTACTAGGAATTAAACCAAATGAAATGATAAACATAAATAACTGAGACTTGGTTTAGAATGAACCTCCCTTGAACTGAATAAAGTAACATGAGTAAGACCTTTATGAGATACCCAATTGTCCTCATTATAAATATGAGCATCAAGATGTCATCGTAACTTCAATTGACTGCTCTTGAAATTCCGTGGACAAAAATATAATTGAGTTCTCAATATCAATGACATCCTGACCAACATAAATGTACAACAACTTTGGCCTCCTCAATAGTTTGGTCAGCAAGAATGACATGGGGATCAGAAGTACCATGAATTACATGATAATTTTTAACTATTTAACTTTGTGTATCTCAAATAAAAACTAATAATGCAGATCCTTAAGGTTCTAACACATCAACTGTAAGCACACCTCAATTATCACAAACCAATTGAAGATTAACCCAAAAACATAATCTAATTAGATGTTACAAATACTTACAGAATATGAAAGCACAACTATGCCTCAATTAGTCACAGTATACATGTCATAAGTCATTAGTAAAATAAATTTAGTACTAGACATATAGATCATGAAAAAATCAATTTATGCAATGTTACATTTTCACAAACGAGTAAAACTTAAATACTCAAAATAAGCATAAAGAGAGCTAGAACACTCGGCTAAGGATACAAAAATCATATTACAATATTTGCACCAATCACATGCCGCATTTCGCAATAAAAGAGTTAAAGACTACTCAAAAAATCATTGGATATAGAAGCATGATATCAAATAAAAACAAAAAATCATTAGTATTGCTCATGTAAAGAAGCCCAGCAATAAACCAAACGAAATTTCCATTAAGAAAATTGGAAAACTGATAACAAAATATAAAGGTCCAATTATTAAATAACATAAGGTATACTCATATAATTCGTAGTATACTCTCACATGCTCATGAGTAACCAAACGAACATATATAATAAGTCAATAACCAACTTATTTGCCATTATATTAATCATTGCAAATAAAATTAACATTCATATATAACATGTCCATAAAGAAATATACTCTACAAAATTTAGCATTACCCACTAATTAAGAGCGGAGGAAGATCAACCAAATCAAAGAAAATTATAAATCGAAGTATAGAACAAATACTCTATAAACACATGATAACTAATAACAAGAAGATGGTTCTTATTTCAATACAACTCATCTTGTCACTTACGCAACAAATGAACAAAATATGGTCCAAGTAAAACCAAACCCTATTTGATAATTTAAATGATTCAAAAAATAAGGAATAAAATATTTGAAGCCAAACTCGTTTTTATATTGTTAGTAATTAAGTAAATAACACAATAACTACTTATCTGATCAATGTTGCGTAGATCAAATGATGTGTGAGCAAGGTGAGAAACTTGTTTACAAACGGTCTGGAATGCGTGTTATGTTTAGTTTAATTTAGAAGTATCAATGTGGAGTAACTAAGAAGGATTAGGGGAACTCTCACCCTTAACCTTGAGGATATAACAATGAGGAACACTCACTCACTTGTTTGGGTGTAGTAGTGATTAGGGAACTCTCACCTATTCGACAACTACCAGTTTAAGTCTTAGGAACTCTCACTAAAACACAAACTCTTCAAATTGAGGTAACTCTCAAATTTGGAAAATAAACCTGATGTGTAAGCAAGGTGAGAAACTTGTTTACAAACGGTCTGGAATGCGTGTTGTGTTTAGTTTAATTTAGAAGTATCAATGTGGAGTAACTAAGAAGGATTAGGGGAACTCTCACCCTTAACCTTGAGGATATAACAATGAGGAACACTCACTCACTTGTTTGGGCGTAGTAGTGATTAGGGAACTCTCACCTATTCGACAACTACCAGTTTAAGTCTTAGGAACTCTCACTAAAACACAAACTCTTCAAATTGAGGTAACTCTCAAATTTGGAAAATAAACCTGACTAGCACAAGTCAAATTTAGACCATACACTCGTGTGTTTTTTTTTTTTTTGCAAATTTTCTGGGATGCCTTTCATTGATCATTAGCATGCTATTTATAGCTTTTAGTACATCATTTAATCGCCACCACCCTTAGCTAAAACAAACAACAAATCAGAAATATCAAAGCTGAAAATAAGGGTAGATTAAGTGGCTCATAACCGTCCAACCTAATCCCCATTACAACTAATTATTACTCTAATTAAGAAAGCTTATCACAAGGGAAACATAGCTAAAAATAAGGGAAGAACGTTCAGCAAATTGACTCCAAACTGATGTTCAAATTCTTCCTTCAAAGTAGCCTTGAAATGCGCCTTTGTAACCTCCCAATTAAGCCTTCATTCAAGCTCCTTTATTACGAAATTAAACCAGCTTGAAACTCTCCTTAAAGTATGCATTAAATCAGCCTACATTCCCCCATTATTGAGGTAATTAGTCACGCTCAATATGGTGCCACCATTTGAGGAATTATATGGACTGTGCATGCCAAAATCCATAGGAGTAGCATCGAAGAAAGACTTGGACAAAATCAATTCCCTAACGTTCAACTCTTGGACTGGAATATTCGAATCTTGACCACTTTGGTCATCCTCCCCTTCTTCAAAGGGAATTACCCTCAATTCTTCATCATTATAGTACGGTGCTAGATCCCCCACATTGAATGTGCTTGAGACGCCATACTTTCCTCCCAAATCTACCTTGTAGGCATTGTCATTGATCTTTTCCACTATCTCAAATGGACCCTCGGCTCGTGGCATGAGCTTGTTCTTCCTTTGATTGGGAAACCTTTCCTTCCTCATGTAGATCCACACTAAGTCACCAACTTCAAAACTTCTCACGTTTTTGACTCTCTTGTTGGCTTGCTTCTTATAGATTTCATTAGCCTTCTCGATGTTCTTCCTTACTTCCTTGTGGATTTTCATCATGAACTCGGCTTGTTCCTTGGCACCTCCATGCACGAACTTGTCTCGAGGCAACGCTATGAGATCAATTGGAACATAAGGATTAGAACCATAGACTACTTCAAAAGGAGAATACTTTGTAGTAGCGCTAGGAGTTCTATTGTAAGCAAACTCGGCATGAGCGAGTTTGACATCCCAATCTTTGGTGCTCTTACTAACCAAGGTCCTAAGCAAAGAACCTAGTACCCTCTTCACCACCTCGGTTTGGCCATCGGTTTGGGGGTGATGTGAGGTAGAAAACAGCAACTTGGTTCCCATAGGACGCCACCAGGACTTCCAAAAATGACTTTGGAACTTTGTATCTCGATCTGAAACAATGGTGCGTGGGATTCCATGGAAACGAACAACCCCATCAAAATATAATTTCGCCACCTTCGTATCATCCTTGGTTTTATGACAAGGGACAAAGTGAGCCATTTTTGAAAAACGATCAACTACCACCATGATTGAGTCCTTACCTCTTTGAGTTCTAGGTAAAGCCACAATGAAATCCATGCTTATGTCTTCCCAAGGTCTCTCCGGAATTGGCAATGGCTTGTAAAGACCTTTGTGAAACACCATCTTTGCCCTTTGACAAGTAGAGCAACGCGCTACAACACGGTGAACAGTGGATAGCATATTAGGCCAATAAAAGTGAGCTTGAAGAAGCTCCATAGTCTTTTGAACTCCGAAATGGCCTGCTAGACCTCCTCCATGCGCTTCATGAATCAACAAGCTTCGAATTGGACATTTAGGAATGCATAACCTATTTCCCTTAAAAAGAAAATCATTTTGTAAGGAAAATTTTTCATAACTACCATTCACGCATTTCTCCAAAATGACCTTGAAATCATCATCTTCCTTGTAGTATTCCTTGATTAATTCGAACCCAAGGACTTTCGCCTCAACGACTCCAAGTAAAGTATGCCTTCGAGATAAGGCATCCGCAACAACATTCGCCTTTCCACTCTTGTACTTTGATGAAAAGTTAAATGTTTGCAAGAATTCCACCCACTTTGCATGTCTCGAATTCAACTTCTTTTGGCCATGGATGAACCTCAAAGATTCATGGTCAGAATGAAGTATGAAGGGTTGTGGTCTCAAGTAGTGCAACCAATGATTCAAAGCTCGCACCATTGCATAGAACTCCTTATCATAGGTGGAATAATTCAGCTTGCCTTGGCTCAATTTCTCACTAAAGTAGGCAATAGGACGCCCTTCTCGAATCAACACGGCACCAATCCCCTTTCCGCTTGCATCACACTCAACTTCAAATGGTTTTGAAAAATCTGAAAGTGCTAGGATGGGTGTATTGCACATTTTTCCTTTGATCACTTCAAATGCCTTTTGAGCTTGAGGAGTCCACTCAAATGAGCCCTTCTTTGTGCACTCGGTGATAGGGGTCATGAGAGTGCTGAAATTACGAATGAACCTCCTATAAAAGGAAGCTAATCCATGGAAAGAACGGACCTCCGTGAGTGTCTTTGGACTAGGCCATGATTGAATAGCCTCAATCTTGCTAGGATCAACTTTCACTCCTTCTCCTGAAACAATGTAACCAAGAAAAGTAACCTCATATAGCATAAAATTACATTTTTCAAGTTTTCCATACAATTTTTGTTCTCTCAAAACCGTGAAAACTTTGAATAAATGTATCAAATGTTCGTCCCCATTTTTCCTATAAATAAGGATATCATCAAGGTACACCACCACGAATTTTCCAAGGAAAGGTCGCAACACCTCGTTCATCAACCTCATGAAAGTGCTAGGTGCGTTGGTTAGTCCAAATGGCATCACGAGCCACTCATACAAGCCATGCTTGGTTTTGAAAGCGGTCTTCCATTCATCTCCTTTTCTCATCCGAATTTGATGATAACCACTCCTCAAATCCACTTTTGAAAACCACTTCGAGCCACTCAGTTCATCAAGCATGTCATCTAGTCTTGGAATTGGAAACTTATACTTGATAGTAATATTGTTAACAGCCCTACTACCAATACACATACGCCATGTACCATCCTTTTTAGGGACCAAAAGAGCAGGAACAGCACACGGACTCATAGACTCACGTACATACCCCATACTCATCAACTCCTCAATTTGTCGTTGCAATTCCTTAGTTTCCAAGGGATTACACCTATAGGCAGGTTTGTTAGGCAAAGCAGCACCGGGAATGAGGTCAATTTGATGTTCAATTCCCCTCAAAGGTGGTAACTCTTTCCGTAACTCATCGGGAAAAACATCCTCAAAATCCTTAATAAACTGAGCTAATTTGGGATTTTGACTCACAAAATTTTCGTGGATCTCTTTAGAGTACAACAAGTATAATTCCTCCTCACCATCAATTTCCCTTTCAAATTCCTTAAGGGTAAGCAATGACACCTCCTTTGATTGTTTAGGATTTTGTGAAAACCGCGGGGGTGGTAAGGGGTGCAATTTTTTTTGTTTTCCTTGGTGAGTTATAGTGTAAGTGTTATGGTACCCATCATGTTGAGATTTTCGATCAGTTTGCCAAGGTCTACCAAGCAAAATGTGACAAGCATCCATAGACACAACATCACACAGTTGAGTATCATGATAAGACCCAATAGAAAAACTAACCATGCATTGTTTCCTAACCCCCGTGCTAGAATTAGAGTCCAACCAACTCAACTTATAAGGATGTGGGTGATTTGTCGTTGTAAGACCAAGTCTAGCTATCAAGGTTTTGGAAACTGTGTTTGCCTCACTACCACCATCAACAATTAAATCACATACCTCGTCTTTAATCTTGCACTTGGTAATGAAAATATGTTGCCTTTGCGGTGCTAAAGGTTCGTCAACGCGAGCTTGCAACGCCCTTCTCACAACCAGATTTGTTTTGGTCTCTTCTTCGGGGAAACATTGCTCTTCCTCCCCGTCCCCTTCAGTAGAATTCACGTCCTCCACTTCTTCAACCTCGAAATCCTCCCAATTGATAGTTTGTTTAGCAATAAGCTTTACCTCTTGTATGGTCAAAGCTCTGGAATTTGGACAATCCTTCTTAAAATGACCCCTTCCTCCGCACTTGTAACAAACAATGTCACTCATTTTGAAATCTTTCTTGTCCTTCTTAGGTGGATCGTTGGCTTTGACAAAAGAAGAACCATCCTTGACAGGGAAGGTTGGTCTTCGTGCCGCTTGAGGGGTGACAATCGGCTTCTTCTTCTTCCTTTTTGAATCAAACTTGATCACAAATTTGCAAGCTTCAGCAAAGGTTAAATTGGTGTAACCTTCAAGTTTGTCTTGCAACTCTTGAACCAACCCAGCCACGAAACGTCCCATCTTGAGTTCTTCATTCTCCGTGATTTCACACACGATAGAAAGTCTGTCAAACTCTTTGATGTAGTCCTCAGCCGATTCTCCATTTTGTTGCAAAGTGCTCCACTTCACATATTGACTTTGCTTGAAATTGTGAGGAATAAAACGATCCCTCATCCTTTTCTTCAACTTGCTCCAAGTAGAAATGGACGCCTTACCCCTAAGAGTACGCCCCCTTTGCTCTCCTTGTAGCCAGTTATCTCCATAGCCTTTCAACTTCACCTTGGCTATCTTGTATTTTTGGAACTCCTCTTGAATGTCCTTGTAATCGAAATACCTCTCCAAGGATTTCTCCCATTCCAAGTACTTTTCTGGATCAAGTGTCCCATCAAAGGCAGGGACGTCCACTTTGAGACTCCTATCTTCCCTCCTAGGTGGAGGGTCTTCGCCTTGATCTCTCCTATCATGCTCGTTCATGAGCCTTGCCATTAAGGCAGCCAGGTTCCCTTGTAGATTGGCGTTGGTCTCGGCCAACCTCTCTTGACTAGCAATGGACCGATTAAGAGCTTCCAAAGCTGTCCTCAAGTCTTGATTTTCTCCCATGGTATGTAGGTATTCGACCCCTTTGGAAGAATTTAAGAAAACTCTCCCCCTACCTGACGCGCCAAATGATGTGTAAGCAAGGTGAGAAACTTGTTTACAAACGGTCTGGAATGCGTGTTGTGTTTAGTTTAATTTAGAAGTATCAATGTGGAGTAACTAAGAAGGTTTAGGGGAACTCTCACCCTTAACCTTGAGGATATAACAATGAGGAACACTCACTCACTTGTTTGGGCGTAGTAGTGATTAGGGAACTCTCACCTATTCGACAACTACCAGTTTAAGTCTTAGGAACTCTCACTAAAACACAAACTCTTCAAATTGAGGTAACTCTCAAATTTAGAAAATAAACCTGACTAGCACAAGTCAAATTTAGACCATTCACTCGTGTATTTTTTTTTTTGCAAATTTTCTGGGATGCCTTTCATTGATCATTAGCATGCTATTTATAGCTTTTAGTACATCATTTAATCGCCACCACCCTTAGCTAAAACAAACAACAAATCAGAAATATCAAAGCTGAAAATAAGGGTAGATTAAGTGGCTCATAACCGTCCAACCTAATCCCCATTACAACTAATTATTACTCTAATTAAGAAAGCTTATCACAAGGGAAACATAGCTAAAAATAAGGGAAGAACGTTCAGCAAATTGACTCCAAACTGCTATTCAAATTCTTCCTTCAAAGTAGCCTTGAAATGCGCCTTTGTAACCTCCCAATTAAGCCTTCATTCAAGCTCCTTTATTACGAAATTAAACCAGCTTGAAACTCTCCTTAAAGTATGCATTAAATCAGCCTACATTCCCCCATTATTGAGGTAATTAGTCACGCTCAATATGGTGCAACCATTTGAGGAATTATATGGACCGTGCATGTCAAAATCCATAGGAGTAGCATCGAAGAAAGACTTGGACAAAATCAATTCCCTAACGTTCAACTCTTGGACTGGAATATTCGAACCTTGACCACTTTGGTCATCAAACTTACAATTGTCGCGTCGTGGTAAACTGCTGACCTAAAAGACGATTCCGCGCTAACTCGGTGCAGTAGACATAAAGCGGCCGCCCTCTAAGATATGCACTGCACCGGAATTTGTTTGCACTCACAAACCCGACTGGAACTCAGAATACTTGCCCAAAATCAAAGGAGTATTTTTTAAAAAGAATAAGAGAATGTTTGAATTTTTTTTTGTGTGTATCTTGTGGAACCTATGGAAGCGTGAAAATATGTATGTAGAGAAGGCAACGGCCAACCTTAATAAGTGGAGTATTAAGTGTCATTGACCAACTAATAAATTGCGTAATCAAGGAGGCAACGACTAGGCATTTTTAATCGACTATGAATGACATTCTCAACGACTTAATCCAAACGAATAGACCATGAATATTGTTATAGATACAATGTTCCAATAACAATAAACCATTAAAGAATAACAGGTACCAAATGATAAGATGCCCATAACCCACTTACCGTTTCTCAAACAAGTAGTACAAAACCACTCCAAAAAATAAACGACACAAAGTATTTTGGGGTTTTTTGTACGTACCCGAGTGGTGGGCGTGTACGTCCCGCGGGAGACAGATCCACAATGCAACACTCGAACGGCCCGGTCACCTGCAAAACAACAGACCCCGGGGGGCCGGAGGTCCGCCTCCGACGATCAAGTCAGCGATCGAAATAATGTATTTCGGAGAGAGAAAGTGGAGAGAATAGAGAGTAATTGTGGGGGCATTGCCCTTGGAGAGAGAATTGGATCCCCTAAAGATGATGTAATGATTAGTATTTATAGAGCATTCGGATATGTGACTCTTAGGTTATTTAGCCTAAGTAGATTGGCTTCCCATCGTTTTACGATTTCTAGGGTTGTGGGCTTAAAGCCCATTTTCACCCTTCTATCATTGAGTGACACGTGTCATGCTCTAATTGGCTCATTGAGCACTAAGCTTGCGGAAACGTGTCGAGGTGGCATTGGTTCACATATAGGGGGTATTTTTACCCCCAAACATTAGCCCCTCGGAAGGGGTAATTTCTTTTTCAAGAGGAATTACTCCTTTTGAAATCAAGGCTTTATTTTCCACTTGTTCAAAAGCTCTATGGGCGGCATATGTCTAGTTCAATAAAAGAGAGATTTGATTAACTTGGAAAATTTGATACCTTAAATGGTATGATATTTTCTAAGTTAATCAATCCTAATAATGATTACCGCCTGAACTAGACAGATGACGACTTTTATTTCTTTTAGCCCCACTATGGTGGTCATATGACCTTTGGGTGACTTAGAATATTTTTGAGACGTTTTACATCGCATAAGGCAGGAGGCGAATGGCCGCCTGATAGGGCAGGAGACAAGTGGCTGCCTAGGGGCAGGAGGCAAATGGCCGCCTGACTCTTCATAGGGCAGGAGGCAAATGCCGCCTTGGGGAAGGAGGCAAATGGCTGCCTGACTCTTCATAGGGCAGGAGGCAAATGGCCGCCTGACTCTTCACAGGGCAGGAGGCAAATGGCCGCCTGACTCTTCATAGGGCAAGAGGCAAGTGGCCGCCTGGGGGCAGGAGGCAAATGGCCGCCTGGGGGCAGGAGGCAAATGGCCGCCTGACTCTTCATTTGGCAGGCGGCAACTGCCGCCTAGGGCAGGTGGCAAATGGCTGCCTGAATCTTCATAGGGCAGGAGGCAAATGGCCGCCTGACTCTTCACAGAGCCGGAGGCAAATGGCCGCCTGACTATTCACAGGGCAGGAGGCAAGTGGCCGCCTGGGGGCAAGAGGCAAATGGCCGCCAGACTCTTCATATGGCAGGCGGCAACTGCCGCCTGAGGCAGGTGGCAAATGGATGCCTGAATCTTCATAGGGCAGGAGGCAAATGGCCGCCTGACTCTTCACAGGGTAGGAGGCAAATGGCCGCCTGGGGGAAGGAGGCAAATGGCCGCCGGACTATTCACAGGGCAGGAGGCAAATGGCCGCGTGGGAGCAGTAGGCAAATGGCCGCGTGGGGGAAGGAGGCAAATGGCCGCCTGACTATTCACAGGGCAGGAGGCAAATGGTCGCCTGGGGTGTTTGTAATCCAATTATACTTTCAATGTCTTTCTACCCCATCGGGAGGACTTGTATAATTTCGAAAGGTAATCTAGGTTAGAACTTTGGTCGATCACCGGCTAATGTCTTTTGGACATCCGGTTCCCGAAGACTTGGTCATTCTTTAGATTACCCACGTCAGGCGGCTATGAGTTGACCAATGAGGTCGTTCAATTTTTGCCGCCTGCATGCGTACGTAAAGCAAATGATAGAGTGCTTTCTGCGACGATTGCACCCAGAGAGGTGTCGCCCGACGCCATATTTCACATTGGAGCAGACAAATTTACCAAAATGTATAACCATCCGGCCATTGGCCTCATGTCTTTTTCAAGACGGTTGTATAGCCATTGCACAACTCTTTTTTCCCCAATTGGAGAGACTGTGCAATTTTGGAATGAAAACCTAAGTAAGAACTTTGGTCGATCACCGACTGATGTCTTAGGGCATCTTGTGTTCTGAAAACTTAGTCGTTCTTTAGACTGTTCTGGTCAGACGGCTATGAGTTGACCAATTTGGTCGTTCAATCTTTGTCGTCTGCATAGGTACGTAAAGCAAGCAAGTAGGCTGCTCTCTGCGACGATCGCACCCGAAGGGGTGTCGTTGGACGCCATTGTCCATGTTGTGACAGACGATTTTATGAAAAAAGCAACCATCCGGACATTGGCCTCTGGTCTAGGTTGAGACCGGCTGTATAGCCACTAAGCGGTTTTGAGCCTAGTTTAGTTATCTGGTCATTGCCGCATGTCACTCGAACTTTGAATTCGCTACTAAGTTTCAAACTTAGTTTATTATCCGGTCATTGGCCTTTCGTCACTTGGACGTTAGTTTAGCTACTAAGTTTCAAACTTAGTTTATTATCCGGCCATTGCCTCACGTCACTTGGACGTTAATTTAGCTACTAAGTTTTCAACTTAGTTTATTCAATCAATGAATCAATAATAATAATAATAATAATAATAATAATAATAATAATAATAATAATAATAATATATTATTATTATTATTATTATTATTATTATTATTATTATTATTATTATTATTATATTTTATAGAATTATGATAATCAATTATTCTTATGCAAGGTCAGGTGATACCTTTTAATGGAGGCTTTCCACCAATATTTTAGACGACATTTATACACCCCTTGCTTGATTCATGAAAATGAGCTCTTCAAATGGTGACAAGCGGCCATGAGATGTCAAGAAATTTGAGCTCCAGAAATGGGTTTGTTCTCTGATTACACAGACGACTTTTTATGCCGCTTGTACTAAAGCTTAGCCTTGACATTTAGAGTACTTGTCAGCTTCAGGTTGGTCTAAAGTGGACCAATCTATGCTTGACACATGTCACTCCAGAAATTAAGGGAAAAAAGGCGGCCTTCAGGCCCAAATCCCGAGAAAGCCGCAAAGCGGCGCAGCCACCAATGATTAGGGTTCAGTGACCTCATCAGGGGCACAAATCCCAAAGACCCTATAAATAGGGAGATGTCCCTCTTTTGGAGGGGA